GAAAATGCCTTTAAGTCTCCTCTAATGTGACCAGTTTAAAGTGAAATGAAAAGTACATTCATTAGGGAAAACTACCCCAGACCAAATTTAATTCCATCATTAACTAACTCACTGTGTAAAAAGAGCATTTTATCTTTGGCTTGAATGCTGATGCTGATGCTTAATAAGCTGAGGAAAACTTGTAGGGTAAGTTTGTTCAGAAAGAAGTCAAATTAATAATGTTTAAATTATGACAGTTTTATTCCAAAGCATGGCTGTGTGAACCATGGAGTCACAGCACCCTCTTCTGGATCCAGTGAGAAAAACATCTACAGTTGTACTTTTCAGGCTGTTTTATGTTCTCTGTGTGTTTTCTGCATTTGCGGATATTCACTTACATATATACAAAGGAATCATGAAGGAACGTGTTTTATTTACCTTTACTGAAGATTAAATGTATTATAATCACCATGTCAGATTTTTAAATAATTAAGACCAACATACTCATGGTTAAACTATCATAGCTCATTTTACTTGTGCTGTATACAAGGTACAAAATAAATAAAAAGTACTTTTAGTATTTAATGCTAATCTAAACTATGTACCTTTCTGTCTATCTATAATATAGTCAACTAGCTATCCATGATTTTCTCACTCTTCGGCATTGCTCTTCTTTCTCATCCTCTCAACTCCTCAGGCCGCAGAGAAGAAAGCTCTGTGGGATCAGTGATGAAATCTCAATATCTGTGAGTGAGCAGTCCCAAAATTTTATCTGCCCTGATTCAGGGTGTAACTGAACAGGAAAATCTTCAGCACAACGATTGCATGTGACTGCGTGCTGTCCTAATAACACTGACTACACAAGGACAGAAAAAAAAGAATAATTATTACAAAGCACTTTGAAACTAGCAATGGATTATAGCTGTGTCTTTTATTTAACGTGCAGAGAGGTGGGTTTTGAGTTAAAAGAATAGACAGTGTGCCATGGCTTACCTCTCATATACTTACTACGGACAAAATCAGGTCCTGGATTGGCTGCGGAACATCGTCCATGATTGGTCCAGTGGAGATGGAGGCCAGAATGACCCTTCTCATTTTCCCCAGATTAGATTGTCTAGCTCCACAAAGACCAAAATTAATAGCAATTTGGGTGCTTCTGTGTGAACTTGTAAAATCAAACTTTTCCAGTTTTAAGTTTTGTTCAAACATCGGACTAACTGTAAATAATATTGGTGATAAATTAGGGCAGGTTTTGTGATACTTTTATACTATTAATTGTGATTTTTCAAAAAGACATGATGGGGTACTGGCAATTAGTGTTCAAGGTTAACATCACAATAAATATACCCATGTACATTTTATCTGTACAGCCCTGCAGGCAGACTACTAACAGGAGTAAAAAGGGGCGGCTGTGCCTGGCTTCCATTATTTATACCATGGAGTGGGTTTTTCTCCAGTGTAGTTCAGATAATAAATTTATTATTGACAATTGAACCACCCCAACACATACGTATATCTGGAGAATTTTACGAACTGACATGGATTAACTGAAAGCCTCATTACAGTAAAAAGTTATAAAATATGTAATACAGACGGCTGTAAAGAACCAGTGTGTAAGATTTAGGGGGATCTATTGGCAGAAATTAAATATAATATTAGCATAATATGAACTCACTTGAAAATAGTTTAAATGAGCCCTTCATATTTACACCTGGAGCAGGTCCTCTTCCATGGAGACTACCATGTTGAACCTTCATTTTTTTTACAGTAGCCCAGAATGGACAAACTAAATACTGACTCTAGGGAAGGCCTTGTCTTTTTATGTTACTGTCAAGGCCACTGTAGGTTCTCCTACACACTTGGAAAGGGAGGGGTCAGGGGATAGATATTCAGTTGGTTGTAATCTGTAAACTCACCACTAAAGCCTACAGACTGGTCCTTTAAATTTGCTAATCAGTGGACTTACCTGATTGGAAATGGTTGATTGACTATGATGGAATGCTGATGTGAATATTTCTGGCATATGCCATTATCACAGGTTTAAAGTGTTATGCAATTTATTATCCTGGCTCATACAGTAGTGGCTGTCAGAGATAACTGCCTTAAGGAGTCAGTTCACCCAAATCATAAATATATATTTTTTCCCATATATCTTTAGAAGATAAAAACCTCAAACCACTACAATAAAAAGTCTGCTGATGAATCTAAATAATTTCATAATTTAATCCTGGAAAGGAGACAAACTATTGGTATACCAATTAAAACTATTTGCAAAATAAAACACTGACCTAAAGTGTTTTCAATGAGATATTGAATTATGATTTCAAATTGTGCTCTAAATTGTGCTGTTTTTTACAGGCAGAGCCTGTTTGCCCACCACTATATCTGAGACCTTAAGAGTCTATTATCTTAACAGACCTCTTACCTCTGATTGTCTGTATAAAATCAGCAACAGTCAGCAGGATGCACTCTTATACAATATCCCTGCTGCCTAGCAACAAAGGAGCACCCTTTATAGTACATTTCTTCTCACTGCAGAAAGACAGGGGAGACAGAGACAGAGAGAAAGAGAACAATTCTTGTGTTATTTTATTGATTTGCTTTACTCTAATAGCCGAAAGTTAGTTGTATTTTTATTTCACATGTCAGTGGTTCAATTTTCAATTTCATTGGTTAGGTTGGTGTTTTAGAGTAAGTGCTGGCAAAGGCTCTCTACACTGAGTGGTGAAATTCATCACCATGGAGAGTGACACAGTCATAAGATACATTCAACACCATGGACAGTGACAGTGGCAGTCCTGCCAACCAGGCTAAAAGAAACATTTGTTTTTCCACAGCGTGGTACCAACTCCACTCCACTCTCCTTGCTTTGGGTACCAGCTAATTCTTTTTCTACCGCAGATAGTACCCGCTCAATGCAGTGTCGTCACTATAGTGATGATGCACAAAGTTACTGTGACATCATCATTTGCCCAATGGAAAACCAAAAAAGGCAAGTAGAGTTGGGTCGAGTTGAGCCAGTACCAGACAGTGGAAAAAATGTACTATTATTTTACAACACAGTGCCATCCAACACTTATAACCATATACCATAAACACTCTGCTCACAGTAGAGTTTCATACAGAATTAAAATAAGAGGATTGATATGAGATTTTTGCCGATAATGTAGACACAGTAACTGTTGTAAGAAGTTTTTGTTTCTACTCTACCAGATTTATCCTAAACATTTCAAATTATATTAAAAAAGACTAAATAAGCCACTACTAGAAGCTCCAAAAGATTATAACTAACCACCACACAAAATGATTTGAAGAAAGAATGCATGCGAAATTGACTTTATGACCTGAGTCACTGTCCAAAATGAAAAGGATTCACTGACTACGGAACCTGAATGTGTGCATTTCATGGCAATAATATGTTACTATTTTTGTGCACCATTACACAGAACTCGATACCATTTGTTGCAGGGTCATTGGATTAGAGTAGGTCTTTTTGTTCTTGTGTCCACCCTCTGTCTACATGCATGTTTAAACTAGTGGATGACAGGCCTGCCAGTAGATGGTCTACAACACTGCTGGGACAGTAATTTGAAAGCTCTTTCTCACTGTGGTCAGCAATGTTGTTATGCTAACAACATGACTGGCAACCAGCCCACCCTCCCCCTCCACTTCCTCTCTGCTCTAAATGACTTAATGTTTTCAAACCACTCTCCCTCCCAAGTCCCTCTTGCCTCTTACATTTCCTCTCTTCCTGTCTTGGCATTTTCTCTAATTCTCCTCTCCTCATTCCATTATCCTTACATCACCCACTTTTCTGAAAGCTGAGATTACCAGTCTGCTCAGAGGAATTATTGAGTCTTCTCCTCTGCCTCTATCCTCTACCCTCTTTGCCTCCACTAAGTAACAAGTGAAAAGGGGGATGAAAAGGTGATACATGTGACAACCAGTTAGTGTTTGCCTCTTTTATTTCCCAGTATCCTCTTCTCCTTCCTCCCACCCAGGAAGGATGGATGGGGGAATGGATTAAAGGAGGGAGTTTGGGATGGTCTGTTTAATTTTTTGTTTGGCTGCATGGCAGTTTGGTTTCTCCAAGTAAGGTCTCCTCACCCATACACGTGTTGTACTTACCCAAAACGTATGCTTACTTTGGTGTTGTTACTTTTTATTTTTAATCAGAAAGGTAAATCCTATTTGGTTTTGATTTATGAAAATTCCGACATACAACAGTTATCGCTCACACGAGACCCTTTATTGATATGAATATGCCTGTCATCTTGATTTATGTGTATATATACAAGAGTGACACATTAAAGGAAAACGACTATTAAATGCCTTTGTTTGGTCACCACAAGTCTCCAGAAAAGCATCAGTAGTCTTTGGCATTGACTCAATAGTGCTCTGGAGCTCTAATGGAAGGAAGGACATGTAGGGTATCTGAAGTACTGTATATTCTGTCATTTAGTGCTGTGATGATAGTAGCGGAGAATGCTGTGTAACACATCTCTCCAAAATTTTTAATAGGTGTTCAGTTTGCTTAAGAGTTGTCATAGTCACTGTCACATCCATGACACAGAGGTAAACTCATAAATCAGCTGTGGCGATGTATTTTAGCTTATTGCTGATATCAGTATCAATGTATATATTAACTAATAATAACAAGAAATTGCCATGCAGAACTGTAAAACTAGGTTTAAAGTAATTTATAAACTGAATGACATCCACCAGAGCATTGTGATCCTCGTAGCCTATTTTGTATGGAAGATAACAGTAGACTACATTTGATGTTTTTCCATTCAACTTTTCACTTTTACACCCATTTTATCTATTCCTGTTTTTATCTTATTCATTGCTCTTTAGTATACTTTAGTATACTCATCTACTATCCCTATAAGTCATTAGTTTACACCTTATCTGTGAGGGAGACAGCCTCCCTCTTATTGGAGTGATCCCCCCTGCCCTCCCTTCTCAATCGCAAACAAAACCGACAACCACAAGATCAACCGCCATAAGGCTAAAGACACTGCCAGCCATGTCCTGCCTCTAAAACAAAAATACAGGGTTTTATTAGCATTTTAACGCATACACTAAGAGCAGACCTGCTTCTCTTTTTCTATATATATGTATATATATTTTTTCTAGAGATAACAAGAAAAAAACAAGAAGGAGAGAAAATGTCTTCCCCCGCGCAGGAGAGGAGCTGTGGCGTTCAGCTGCTGAGCGCGATGCTGCTGCTGCTCTCGCTCTCCGGTAAGAAACAAAAACAGTCATCGAAGCGATGATGCTCTGTTACATTGATTCGCGGATCAACAGCTCGATTGGATGATAGCCCTCGCACACTGCTCCACTCTTAGGCATTCTCCTGTCATTTATGAGACTCGATATATATATATATATATATGTGTGTGTGTGTGTGTGTGTGTGTGTGTGCGTGTGTGTGTGACAGAGAGGAAGAGAGAGGAGGCGGTAATGGGTGTAATGTGAGATGATTTCGGTTAATTGTTAGTAGGCTGTTCCCGCATTTAGCCAATTTGATCAGACCGTCCATTAAAACAAGACTGTTGTGGCCGTCTTTTAAGACTTTTAGCAAAACTGATTTGTGATCAGTTGTGTTAGTTCTGTAAGGTCTTATTTTCCTCATATGTCTCTGTTTAGCTTGTGTTGACAGCTAAATGAGCGCCCTGTTGTATCACAACCTTTAAACAGCGTTATGATGCACTACATAAAAATAAATATTGGCTTCGGCTGCACACAGAACCATAGTGCACTCTGGGGCTCTGTGACTCCGTGTTGTGAGAGATGGATAGAAATAGGCCCGTAATAAGGTGCTAACAATGTGCTGCAGATATTTATAGGCCATGTATTCAGTAGCAGGCTTATAAACCTGCATATGTGGTCACCTGTAATAGGTCTATGGATTTCTACATGAACGCATGAAACAGAGAGCAGATGTGAACAGGTTGATATCCAGCCCACACTGGTTCATGCTAATTCACAGATCAAAACACGCTTCCACAGTGTGACCCACATCTGATCAAACCCACAGCATCATTGCACAATTTCAGATGGGCCTTACCATAAAACCAGTGCTCTCCAGCCGATTTACAAACAAAGGCCAACCAGCAGTGTGCATAATTGAATAATAAATAATTAAATGCTACAGTAAAGCCACTTCCTGTCAATTTCAAAACTGTAACATGTATGTGCAACAAAAAAACTCATAAAACTCAACAAGAATGAAATCTTCCTGGTATTTTGATAAGGGAAATTAGTAAGTGATCATTTCTTGTGCAGAGACCGACACCACCGCCTGATGCCAACTTACTGACGAAATAATAGTAGCACACTAGTTTAGGAAACTGAGTTTAATGAAGGTAAGTCGTCGAATTAAACTTAACGATTTTATTGTGGGGTTTTGTCCCTCTTCACTGGGCGTCATATCCCAGCCAAGGTGAGATTATCAACCCGAGCAGGAAAGATAATGTTGGCTAGAGTCATCATGCTGGGAGAGAGATCATTCAGTGGTTGAACCAGAGGGTTAGTAGTTAGGGAGTGAAAGGTATGGCAGGGGCAGAGGAGTGGGATCATTTCATTATCTTTGATGGTTTTAGCATCTGAATTTTTATTTACAGTTATTATGTAATTTACACCACAAGGCGATCATTGAAGACTACATTTTCAAGCATGTAAAAATAAAGGAGAAAAAATATCAGGCATATTTTGGAAGATTGAATTTTCATCCAGTTTCATTGTCCTTTCAAAGCCATAGCTTACTGAATTTTGGGTTGAATGAGACTGTGAGGAAATACTTGGCCCAGCTTGATACCACACAAGCTAATGGAGTTGGGGAAATAGAGTTGAAATTTGTCTCCAAATGGTCCTTTTGTCTTCTTGTCTCATTGAATGTTGCAGTTCATTGGTTGGGTAATTATATAGGAGTGCTCACACAAGTGTATTTTTAGATGGTGTCAGCACCCTTGGCTTCTTCACCTATGCCAACTGAAAATAGATACCCAAAAGTTTACTGTTGCTGTGAAGATGGTTGCCCCTTTCTTTCTCTTTTCAACACAATGTAGCCTTTGCTAAATTAAAAATTAAAGATTACTACATTCCTCTTCAATTCGTATTTGTTAGCTGCTTAATTATCCAAATTAAAAAATATTACATAAAATACATTTAAAAAAAATACATCTTTCATAGGCATCATCACTTTGAAGTATCAAAAACAAAATCTTGTTACATTCTCAAATATCTGGACCCATTAGTCGACCGTAACTTTCTTTAATTTTAAATGTATATATATTCATATGTATTAAAAGTTTAGACTGTTATATGCCCCTATGCATCATGTCTGGACAAAAGATGTGGATCCAGACCCTGAGCTCTAAGGTCAACTAACTAAGGTCAGTAAAAGTAGCACTGCACACGTGGGAGCAAGGAGAAAAGTTTTTGCCACTCACAAGGCAGCATTTTATAGACTCATTTCCAATAAACCCACACACACTAACACTCCTTTCTGGGCATTTAAATCAGAGGAGAAAGCACTCAGTCACTCAGTTATGCAGTTTGATAGTAATTATGGTTACATTTTTTCTGTTGTTGTGGGTTGTCTATCAGAAGAGCACTAACTGTAGCAAAGTGTGGCAGGGTAGTATTCCAATCGACTGTGCGGTTATATTCCTTCTGCCCATTAGTATTATAACTTTCCTTAGCAACCACACTGTTGCAGTTATCACAGAGAGACACTAGAGGGCAGCAGCACACTTAGAAGAGAGGGCATGTAAGCCCAGTGCTAAATGCACTGGCATGGACTTCAAACAAGCCAAAGTGCAAACTTTGCATGTGCGTACAGAAGCACTGCATTACCACAGTTCAGTCAAAACTTTAATGTGACAACTACATTTGTGTTTTCTACTGCTCCAAACAGTTGACTTTGGACTCTAGCCAGCAGGCAGATATATCTGTGAAGTGGGAGCCAACCACCGGCGCTGTGGCTTAGTTGGTTAAAGCGCCTGTCTAGTAAACAGGAGATCCTGGGTTCGAATCCCAGCAGTGCCTTTTCTCCATAGAAGTACACTTCTATAGGTGTCAACATGCCATTCAGAAGAAGTGTAGTTTTATCTTGAAAACATTAATCCTAGCCTATGATTTAATACTCCTTTAATAAGAGTAACACTCTTAAGATACCCTCCTCAACAATTGAGCAACTAGCATTGTGAGACATATAGTTTAAAACAATGTAGCAAATCCTTGGTTGTAAAAAAGAAGTAAGTTACATTTAATTTAACGCCAATTCCAAATGTAAAAAGGTTTATATGGGTATATATAAAGGTATATATTATCTAACAATAAACCTTTTAAATTAAATTTTCTTTTACCCTTTTCACCTGCATTCCTGTATTGAACTATCACTATTTCACTTTTTTCCCCCTGCAGTCCCACTATATTATAGTATATTCACCTCTCTAGTACAGAATTATAAACTTCAGTAATTTTTCTAATGTGTTAAAAACTGAATTTGCGAAACAAATCACTTATGAGAGAAAATGAGCAAAAAAGGAAAGCTGCTGATGTTTCCTTGTTTTTTAGATGTCAATGGAACCAGGTTTTCTCTTCAGATTCCCATTCAGGAGATATAAATTGAAGTGAAATTTGGTGAACAATGAATTGAAACTTAACTGATGTACATTGACATTGAGTTTACTCTGCTGATAATGTTTAACACTACCACCATCAAAACTAGAGGCCTTAGTGTACCTTTATGTCCATCTGTGTACGTCTGATTCCAGATGTAGATTCAACTCAAACGCTGTAAGTGCTTTTTGAAGGTTTAAAATGTACTGTATGTTGAAGCAGCCAGACTTTGTGACTCTGCTATAAGTAGACCAACTGTCGATAATGCATAAGAGTGAAAGACTGGAGGGGAGAGGAGGACAGGGAACGCAAAGTTCCTTTCAACTCTAACTCAGTCTGGTCAATACTTTCCTTGTTTGGTATTTTCAGTATTGATCATAAATGAGATTTTAAAAGGAGTACGGGTTGGTGCAGTTATTATGCCTGTAACACACCATGGTGAAATAAGGTCAGTATGCTGGATAATGCATCCCTGTCTCCCACATGTAGCGGTGTTCACTCAACACTAATATTGCAGTGACATATCGATAACAAACAAAGATTCTGCAGGCTCACACAGTACTGTTTGTGTTTATAACTTTATCCCTATCCCAGTCTAGTCATGACATAATCAGAGAAAAGCTTTTCCATCCCACAGGATTCCTGCAACTCCTCCATGAATCCCTGACAGATGTTATATTTTTTGTAGGGAGCTGTATTGATTTCTGACTGCCCCCGCTTCTGGCACCTGAGGGTAGCGTGGTGCAGTGTGCAGAATGCAGTGCTACTTTCTCCAAAGCAGGGGGCAGTAGAGCTGAGCCCAACAGAACACAACTGAATCACAACTAAACAATTCCAAAACTGCAAGAATTTAAAAGACAGCATACAGCGGTCAACATATCAGCCACAAAAAATAGATTTGTGCGGTAAAGCTGCAAATATAAAACTAATGATTCACGTTTGCACCAGTCTTCTTCTGGTGTTAAGAGGCAAAAGCAAAAACAATGCTCTGTGCTGCTTGAGCAATACTTCTTGCTCTCTTTCCTCCCATTTGCATTCAAATTTGTGGAGAGCTGCCAAAATACCAAATGGACAATTGGAATTTGTCAACTGTTATACTTGGCACCACAGCGGTGAAGTTGAAGCGAAGTGAGTTACAAACAATGCGTCATCCCTCTCTAAACTAACAAACCTCCAACACAATTCATTTTTTTACCTGTGGCATAGAAAACCAAACGTCCAGCTCTTCTTCATCAGACTCTGTCCCCCTGACTGCAGCCTGGCACTTAAAAAAATTCAACAAGCAATCTGAGACCACATCTGGTGTTATGGCCTAACTCCTTGTGGTGCAATCATCATTAAGCTAACGATTCTGGGGACACATATGACATTTACAAGTGCTCCCAGTTAGAGTGGGTTGTACTGTAGAGGCAGGTTCTGAAGGAGGTAAAGGTCAGAGTCAAAAACAAAAAACATTAGGACTCTGTCTGAAACTGCAAAAAGCAGCAGCTACCATTTAGTGTTGCTCAGCACTCTATAGATAGGACAAAAAAACAAACTTATCAAGCAGGAGGTTACCCATTTGATAACCCTGAACTGTCAACCCACTCAAGACCAGCATTTATGCCATCACACCACTCAGGACCTGTACCTATCATACCTTAAATACAGTAAGAATCATCCTCATCACCAGAACATGCAAGTGGTGGTGCTTTTAGGGCTTGTATTCAGTCCTAGTAAATTATTGTTTTGGAACCTCCTCTAAATACTTGGCTGCAGCCCTTTGTGCCCTAAAGCAGCTTTAAATCACTTTCAGAAGAGACCTTCAAAGAATGCTGTCAGTGATTTCAAATTGGTCTTCAAATTGGTCTTCAGGTCTTATTGCCTCCCTTTTTTTACATTTATACAAATTGGAACATTATATTTTTTTACCTCATAGATATAATGATTTGCAGTACCATCTGGTACCAATGAGGCAGGCAAATAGGCTTTACCCTTGTTACACCAGCTCTTTTAAATTAAAACTGATAGGATTACATGTATATGTAAAGCCTAATGAAAATGTGGTCATGCGGAGTAGGAAAAGAGGAATGGGGAGGGCAGGGAAGGATGATGTAACAGACCTACCTACGTTTTACCTTTTTTTCTGCATTGACCTTGTGAGAGAAGCAAACAATGGAGAAAAAAAGAAGGACGTAAGAGAGAATTGCATGGAGTGCTGAAAAGCGTAGATGGGGAGAGACAGAAAAACTGTAATATAGAGGGTAGTAGAGGGGTCAGACAGAAGAGGTACTAGGAAAGAGGCGTGAGAGGTAGCAAGAGAGGTGGATAAAGATGGGAGAGGAAAGAGGGAGGGGCAGAGAGAGGGAGGAGTCGCATGAGGCTGCTTCACTGCAGTATTTCATCTGTTAGCAAGTCTCTGTCTCTCTCTACGTCTCTGCATCTGCCTCTCTTTCTCACCATCCACAGGACTGCTGAGTCAGCAGGAGCCTGTATCAAACTGTTTTTCACATCGTATATCTCTGTACAACTTCCAGAAGCAAAGGCACATATGTGTATAGAGTGTGTGTGTGTTTGTGGCAGGGACAGTGGTGTCAGCTTGAAAGTGTCAGTGTTAGCTATATGTACAGAGAGGTCAGTATGCAGGGATGACATTGACATAGCACAGCTAGCATGCTTAGCTCACTGCTGACAGTACACACCTTGTGGGATTACATGTATGAATTTGCATGTGTGTGTTTATTTGAGATTGAGAGAGCAAGAAACAGGTGCTTCGCTGCATCACAAGACACCTGCCTGTGGTGAACTGTGCATGGAAAATTTGGTGCGTTTGTGTGTGTGTGTGTGTGTGTGTAAATTATACATATGGACGGTGGGTGGGGATGGGGATGTAGCAAGTGCGTGTGTGTGTGTGTGTATATGTGTGTGTGTGTGTGTGTGTGGTGCAGAGAGGCAGGCCTGTGGAGTGGTGCAGCAGCAGTGGGAAGGGAGCCAGAAACACCCGACTGCAGAGGAGAGAATGGTGCAGAGTCCCATCACACACACACACACACACACACACACACACACACACACACACACACACACACACACACACACACACACACACACACACAAACACACACACTGAGAGAGAGAGACAGAGATTCTGTCTGGGGAGTGTAAACCCATGCCGAGACATAATGCTAGAGGGGAGGAGGAAACTAAACAATACTTTTATTTCATTTCAAGTTATATCAAGGCGTATGCTTTTGACTTTCATTTTGGAATGTTAAACTCAATATATTTCCTAAAGTGGCTTAGTGGAGGGGTCTATGCACTTTTCTAACAGAGTCTCTAGGTACTATTGTACAAAACCTATCATGATGATGAGATTCTCTTTCAGTGTTCCAGATATACTATCCTGCCATGCTGACAACTTAATCAACTGCAGAGATTGTAATTACTTTGAATACACTTCACACAATAAGTTAAACATATTCCTTCAATCGATAAAAACATGCTTTTAAAAATCACATTCCCACAACACATGAGTGACACTCACTAACTGCACTTAATTCAACTGCTTCCGGGCCAAATTTCGTTCATGCCAGATCACAGCGCCAAAAATGATCATGCCCCAGTTTCATCAAAGTTTCATCAAAATCATATCCATGATAACTGAAATGTTACATTTGACTGCCATCAGTCTGTTATTTTTAACGGTTTTTTAGGACACAGTTTTGATGATTTAAACAACACATACACAAAAACACTACAATGAAAATATGGCATCAATTTCATCTGAGTCTGAATGTTTAAGGATCTCTTCTTCTAAGTTTTTGCTGTTGCTTAGCCAACATTAGCATTAACAGCTGTTTTCTTTCCAGTCTAGCAGAAATGTTGCAAGTTCAGCTACAAACTTCATTTCTTTACCCGACAAGAGCTGTCTCCAGTGGGGGAAATAAACCCTCTGGTTTTGCTTCTATTTCTATCACTGTTTTTCTTCTACTGAAGTTAGCATGCTAACAAGCTAGCTCTGGCCCAGTTGGCCTGTCTCATCACTTTCCGATACTGAGTCACTGTAGAGTTTAAGCTGCCCTTTGCGCTGCTCAGAGGGCGTATTATAACCTCTTGTCTTCTAAATGCAATGATGGCCAAAGTTCCTGCAAATAAACAGTTGTAAACAGCTGTTAATGCTAACGTTGGCTATGTAGCAATAGTAAAACTTACAAATAGCTCCATTAAACCTGCTTACAATGATACAGTGAAAAACAATGCATCATGGCCACCACTACACTGATTATCCATATTATTCCATACATGGGCTTTGACATATTTTTGACATAACCTTAATTTATATAATTCATGCCACATACATAATTTGGCATAATTACAACATAACCTTATTCAAGGTGAAAAATACAATTCAATCACTACCTGCTACATTTCAATGTAAAAAAAAAAAAAACAACAGCTTTAAAACTGAAATCCCTGTGTTGGATGTCACATTTTCAAGCAGCATCACATAACTAGACAGAAATGATGTTTAAGCTCCCAGCAAAAATGGTGTTGTTCTTGTCTCTGTTTTTTCTCTTGACATAGCCATTGCTTGGAAAATGCAATATGCAAATCCATTTATGAAATATAGGCTCTTGCTGTAGATTTTAATAGATTAAACAAACAACACCACTTTCTGCGTGCTATGTTTTGAACAGACAGTACACAGCAGGCATGTTGCTTGATCTACAGCCACCTTGCAGGACTTGCCACATTTAAATCTGTTCTGTGAGTTGAAGAATTCACATCAAATGACTGTCAGCCTAAAAGACAGCACTCTCCAGATGGAGTGCAGAAGAACAGTCAGCAGTTTCATGGAGAAACACATCCCCATTACAGTACGTATTGGCAAGTTTAAACTGCTGGGAAACTGCACATTTTACTTCTTTTTTTTAACGTTGTTTTGCAGTATGTGCAGTTAAACACAAAGCTCTAAAATATTCTAGTTTTGGGTATTTAATCAGAAACCTATAGATGAGGCTAAATGAGGTACTACACCATACACCACATCGGCGGTGTGAACTTCATTTGCTCTACACAACTTTGACTACAGTCACAAATCTAACGTCCCTGGACTCACACTGACTAATTCAAAAGACAATTTCTACTTTCCACTGACTTTACCTGGAGACTAGTGATTTTACTTTTGGCATGGAGTATCTCCTCATACCTAAACTTGTGCAAGGAATTTCCTTTTCAGTATTTAGATTTATCTTCTTTTTATATGTCTTAATCAATTACATTAATAAACACTATCTACCAATCTGTTGTTGAGATCCATCATTTTCTGATGTAAAAATACGCATCAGTAATGGTCTTACTCATGGCAAATATTTTGTCAAATTTATTTCAGTCTTTACCACTCAGATATTTTATTGTTGTTGCTGCTTATTACCATTGTTGTTGTTTTTATTTATAGGTTGTTCAAGCATGGATGTGCTCGTGGCCAATTCCATTAATGCATTGAATGGAACAACTGTCAAAATCCCCTGCACATTCACTTCCTGCTACAGGATGGATACTACCAAATTTTCCATGAACTGGACCTACCAAGAAACACTCAACGATACAGAGGAGATGGTAAAATGACTAGTCTTTGCATAATTAAAAACCCCTAAAACTTGGGGTACCTACATCTTAAATCTCTAAGCCAGTTATAAACTCTCTCTCTCTCTCTCTCTCTCTCTCTCTCTCTCTCTATCTATCTCTCTCTCTCTCTCTCTCTCTCTCCCCCTCTCTCTCTCTTTGTCACTCCATAGTTTATGACATACTATAAGAAAAAAGGGATGGTGCCTCTGCGTTCAGACCGGTTTGGAGAGCGTGTCATGTTTGCTGGGAACCTGGATAAGAATGATCTGTCAATCACCCTATCAGATGTTCAGGTGGAGGATGTGGGAATTTACAACTGCTATGTGAGAAACCCCCCAGACCGCATCCAGGGACATGGCGTCATACAGCTCAATGTTGTCACTGAACGTAAGATACTAACCCTAACTTCTGAAGATACAAAACTGTAATAGTCTATAAATCCTAACCCTTTCCTTAAAGATACACTTACTGTTTTAATTGGGCAACTCAACGCTTATCCAAAATCCAGACATGCATTTTTGAGGTAGAGTGCTAGTGAGAAATATGTAGCATTGGATGTCTAGTATTGGGTGAATTTTGACTCACTGTGTCACTAATTTTATTCCCTCTTTCACAGACTTTATTTATGTGATGACCTTTTGAGCAGAACATTCATTGGCTGTTACATTAAGCATCTTCTGGGTCTAAATCAAGCATTTATAATATTTGTGGCTCATGAATAATTTCCATACTTGCACCAACATATGGCTAAAAGACAAATTGTTAGGCAAGATTAGCTGTTTATGCTGCAGTATAAGTCGATAGAAGCTACAAATGGACAAAATGAATAACATAACATTTAAAGACTGAAAAAAACTGAACCCGAAATATGGACTTATTAAAGACATTTCCTCTAAATATGACATACTGTATGAGCTGTCAACAGGGACGTGAAAATTAGCATCATTTGCTTGTGTTTTGGAGTGCACCGATCTCTCTTGGCCACCGTACATTAAGGATAAATGCTATACAATAATTCTAACATACTCTGTGTGTTTCCTGACGCACAAGGACCTAGTGGTGATGAGTCAGCTCTTTACTTATTAATGACCAACAAGAGGTAGAACTTAGTCCCTCAGCATCTCTCTCTCCAACTCATGCACACACTCGCATACACACACTCACGCATATGACACAGGCTAACTCAGCAGCACTTTCTTTCTTTCCACTCTGTTTAATCAGCCCAGTAGAGCTTTCAGCCAGCACTGCACTTGTCTCCATCCTTTGTCTAAAAAATATTTAACCCGCTCCTCTCCTCAGTTCCCCCTCCAAGGGATTCAACTATAGCAGTTGCGATTGGGGCATCAGTGGGCGGAGCATTGGCACTGCTGATCCTTTCCATGGTGGTAGTGAAATGTCTTCGTCGACACCGGAAACAGGAGCTGATTTCGGAAGAGAAGATGGAGGAGGAGGGAAAACTGGAGGCTGAGGGTGTTGCAGAGGAGGGAACCAAGTAAGAAATCTCACCATAACATCTTTAATCAATTAATCAATACTCAATCAGAAAACGTGAGTAGGACCAGGGTCAATAAGTAGCAATTGATATGCCACTTTAGTTTCAGTGGCACAAGCAAATTATCAATGGTACACTCAATTAGTATGCAGCTACTGGTCTAGTGGCATATGCCATTTATAAGCAAAATGTCCTTTTAGTTCTGGCAGATACCACTAGCATATACTGATTTTTACTGCCATATTCCACTGGTGATTATGATATGCCATCACTGTGTTGCAATTACAAACAAATCTTACTAACATATGCCACTGCTAATTTAATTTAAACCTATCTGCCACATGCCACTCAAACAACATGTCAGTGATGGCCCACTGATAGATACTACTTCTACATTAAACAATTTAAAGAAAAAAATGTGTTATAGTGCAAGTTTTATTGACTGAAGTCCTGCTATATACAACAGTTTCTGGCCACAATATTATTTGCACAAAAGAAAAACCACACAGCTCAGACATTACTATGGCTGAAGCACCTTCCTTCTCTTCTATAATTGAATTACAAACCACAAAACTTCTCTCTATTGACTGAAAGCTAACCTGTTGTCATGATGTTGGGCATCTCTTCTTGTATATTTATAGACAACCATAGCTGGGTATTGTGATTGATCCAGGAGAATGTGGAGCTCTCACCCCCAACACCTCCTCTGGTAAATACATGCTCATGTCTACCAGTCTTGACTGTTGTTGTTGACTTCCATGAACACCATGTCTATCATAGAGCTTAGCAAAGTACCAGTCAAATATAAAGGACAAGACATTGGTGTATTTGCAAGTTGCATGCTACACTAGGAATAGCAGAAAAATGGTAATCTTCTCTCTGTATGTATACCAAATGTGTGTGTATGGGTGCATGTTTTTCTGCACCCATGTTATGCCCCAGATCTCTGTACCTGTTGGCTTTATCTCTAGAGAGGTTTATTTATTGGGGCATCTATCAAGCATTTTACTAGTTTCTCTGTTTTCTTTCAGATGTGTACCCCCCTCCCGAAGATCTATCGTAAACACTGCTTGAATCATTGTCCACTGATACTTCCATCTCCTCTGCATGTGTGTGTGTGCCGTAGCACACAAGTGTGCTGGTTCGTGTGTATGTGTGTGTAGCGTGCGTACTGAATGTGTCTATGTGTGCGTGCCTAATTCCATATGTCTGTGTGAGATCTTGTGTGTCTTTTTCCATGAAATAAGGCAGGGAACACTTTTCTGCAGCTTAACCACAAACTGCATATTAGGTTTTCATAGCAACAAGTCAATATCAAGCATAAGCATTAGAGGTCTCATGATAAGCGATGGCATTTTCATAGCACACTATAGGCTAGGGCTGGGCGGTATGACCTAAAACATATACCATGGTATATTTTGAATATGGAATGGCAACAATACCACAGCATCACAACCTCTAATTTTAGCTCTCAAGCTTTAATAGCAATTCAGTCCAGGGCTTTGGGACTGTTTATTGCCTGAAGTCCATTATTAACCGACTATTTAAACTTAAAAGTGGTTGTAGAGGCAGAGCTTCATAGCTGATAGAAGTTAAAAGCCTATCACACTGCAGAGCAGATGTTGTTGTTGTGTGTATCTGTTGTGTGATGGGATGCCGTCTGCTCCACTGTCTCACAACAGCTGCAGTCCAGCTTTGGGATTTTGTTTTGGGTGAAGTGTTTTGGTTTAACATACTGTGAATCCATTGCCTTAATGCCATGTTTCCCTGGGTACCATGTCTTAACATAGCTGCAGACATAATGCATGTGTGGTGTCCTTCCACATGTGCTTTTGCGAAATTATGTCTACATGTCTAAATGGTGTCAACTTCAAACATTCCTTAAAGGCATGGAGGTTTTTATAGCAAAAACAGTTGCCCTGCATAATGACTTGTTACAATAGGAAAAGCACAGATACTGCTAATCACATAAATGCTGGCTCTGTTTTATTCAAGTGTGACACTAGCTGTGTCAGAAATCACTGCCTATTTAGTATATAGTGCACTATATTCAGCCTTCACCATTTTCTTTGTATGTGTAAAATGTAGTCACTATATAGTGCCCCCCAAAAAATCCCACAATGGAACAAAAAGTAGTGACAATACATTGTGTCTTATTTTGAAAAAGTGAAATTTATAGTCCAATAACATTAGTTTTTGGTAACACAAAATTTATTTTCATTCAAGTTTCTTAAATTTCCAAGTGTAGAATGAACAATTATATGAATGAATGTGAGAGCCGGTGTGACATTGAGTCAGCATGCACAATACCAGGACCCTGAACTTGAAGCAGCTAAATGGAGTTCAGCCATTAATCATTTTATTATTTACACCTGTGCTTTTTCTTCTGTGATAAGTCAGAAAGTCTTCTGTGCAAAGGGCAGGTGATGTTATCCAATTATCTCTTGGTCTTGCCTGTGTCTTTTATTTGTTTTTTTTTATTCATTCATTTTAGTTAACAATCAAAAGTGTTTTTTTAGTGTAAAAGTTGTATGCTTGCTCTCAGTGACACAAATAAGGGCAACTGCATTGGTTATAATGTGGTGAGTTGTAGTGATGCTTTCAGAGCACTTCATGTGACCTTATATTTATTTAATTCAGAACAAACAGCATAGCCAAATATATATACATACATATATATATATATATATATATATATATATATGTATTGTTGTCATTATAGGTTATACCATCCACCCCTATACTGGGTACTTGATCATCCAGCCTGGCCTTGTACAAAGGTTTGACATGTTAGTGAACCTGATACAGAGGTTGCAGTAGCAGGCACAGATTTCAGTTCAGTCTAGCAAGGGTTACAATTAGTCTTCATTCTTTAAGAGCATACAATACTTGCAATATTTGTAACTGCAATACATCGTACTACCATTTGCACATACTGCATAGGAAAAACAGTGACAGTGTTGAGCTTTCCTCTCAGAATATTTCCCTACAATACAAATAAAGCGGGAACTGGAGGACTATGAGGTTCAAGATAAAATGAGGTGAATTATTGTTGACTACATGAGTCAAAAACATATCAAAGACAATTTAAAGTGAAAATCTCACATTGCACCCACAATCATATAAGTCATGTTCATGTTAGCCTGTATTTATAATTATAGAGATAGAAATAAAGGCTGCCTAAACAGAGACCTACACAGACAACAGTAGCACAACAACAACAATAACCTTTACCATGACCCATATCACACGCAGATAAGAGCCGAGTCCCACTAAAGACTAATTTAGGAAGTAATACTAAACAATGATCGTAATTAAAATATAAGATGTTTATATTTATGACTGACAGAGAACAGCTTATTGATGAATGTTTGGTTTGGTTAGTGTCTCCCTATAAATTGTAGTTGTTGTATCCACCTAACAAGTAGAATATGTTATTTTGGTTAAATGATGCCTGTACAATGTACTATAGTGCCATGAATGCATGTCAAACAATGCATATCAAAAAGAAAAATGTAATTAAAGAAAGTGAGAAAAATCTGTTCTGTTAGTTTTCCCAAAAACACACAGTAATGTCAGTCAGCATGTTTAAGATGGTGTCATTTTTTATTAAATATTATGATACCTGATTTTCATTTTTAATTTAATTTTGATACATGCGTATGTATATATATATATTTTTTTTTTTTTGCTTGTGTATATCATTTATAGCGTGTCAGAGGTATTTGGTTGCAATTTGATATAATTAATTTGTCTCCTGTTAACTATCAATAAACAGCTAAATCTTATATATTTCATATCATGAAAAAAGCATCCATACAAGCTCTTAAAATCTAAATCTTTTTACTCGTATTTCAACCAGAGTCCAGCTGGAACCAGAGATTTTTATGCATTTTAAAGCCATTGCACCTAGATACAATACACTTTTTTGTGTCTATTTTAAAGCAGATTAACATATTAAAAGTTGTAAGGATACAAGTTTTAAACCTTATATTCTAGCTCTTTCTCCAAAGTAATGCCTTTACCTCAACAGTGGTGTTTAAAACTGTAGATATTGTTTTGCACATTAACACATTGACACCTAAATATAATCATTATGGAGAGCATGTAAATATAAAGGAAATGGGGAACACATATAAAGCTAACCTTATCAAGATGGTATATTGGAATGTGGCTGTTATAACAGAAATATGGCATGGGATTGTATGGTTAAATGGGAAACGTATCAGTAGTGTACTTATTTGATCATTTATTTGGTTGGAGCACCTTGAATGTTACAAAATATATATATTCTCTTTAAAAAAAAATACTGAATCACTATTTAATGTCACTTACATGTTATAGCATGTGAGCTTTGTTAATCTCTGAATGTCCTATGATGTTTTAACTACAACAGGCCAGTTGTGTCTGTGCTACCTGTGATGTGTCAAGCTGGTTAGCTATGTCATCAAGCTATTGGAGGGTCGATAGTGCTTCTATATTTGGTGGCTGGGGCATTGCTGGTTTTTGACATTGTTAAAAAAAAACTGTGTACAGGTCTGTGTTTAGGCCTATTACTTAATTAGGGTCTTTTAATGGTTTTTGTCATTTATGATTTTATAATCTATGTTTTCCAAAACTAAATGTGATGTATTGTGTGATTTCCTGACATATCAAAAGTGCATCTTTTGCATCAAAATAATATAAAATTCACAATTACATGTTGCTCTGTAATCATCGATAAAGCTAGTGGTAATTTAAAGGAGCTATTTGTTAGTTTTGCTATTGCTACATAACTAAGTTAGCATTAACAGCTGTTTACTTCCCAGGTACGCCAAGAGGTTCAGCCATCATTGCATTTACAATACAAGAGGTTATAGTATGCCCTCTGAGCACTACTTCTTCAGGGCAGCCTTGACATTACGGTGATTTGGTTTCGAAGCATTAAGACCGGGCCTAGCTGGTTTGCGTGGTAAATTCAATAGAAGAAAGGATGTGATAGAATAGAAACAAAAAAAAAGGATTGCTTTTCACTGCTGGAGACAACGCTTTGTGTGTGAAGGAATGAAATTTGATGCAGAACTTGCAATGTTTCTTCTAGCCTGATAAGTAAACAGCTGTTAATGCTAACGTTAGCTATGTAACAATAGCAAAACTTACAAATAACTCCTTTGAAACAATCATGCTGTGAAGAACAAAAATAAAGTGGCGGTTTATTGGCATTTACAGAGTTGTTTGGTTGGGAGAGCCCTAGTTCTGACACATTTCCTGAGACATTGCTGTCTGTGTGTGATCATGCATGTTTAAGTTGCAGGGTTTGGGTGATAGACCCATAAGGTGATGACACGTAAACACTTGGGGCAAATTTGGTTTGCAGTTTTTACCAGGAAGGTTTTGTTGTTAACATGAAGTCATACACACTACTGTATATATTATCTAGTCTGTTTGTCATTCAGAGGCAATTAAACAAAGAAAAACATTAATATCATGTTCTAGACAGATTTATCGGTGTACATCACTGTTTCCCACCTTTGGCTATGAAATTTGCCCTGAATAGTTGCTCTTGTATCACTTTAAATGTTAGTGGACACCAAACTAATGCTTGCACTGTGCTGCCTCTGAAAAAGCAGCTGCCATTATATTATGTATTTTAAATAAAGATGATTTAGGAAAATATCTGTTTGTCTGTACTTTATTTTTTTTTCATCCAATCATCAAGGGGCTGGAGCCATTCCCAGATCAGATTGGTCAGAAAGCAGGGAACACCACTGCACACCACCAGTCTATCACTGGACTGACAAATATTGGAAAAGCAGTTTGGAGTTCTCACTTTACCTATTGTAATGCCTTTGCACTGTAAGAGAAAACTGACAAAGAGATGGATAGATGTGCAAACTCAAGGCCCGAGCAATTTCCTAACGGGCCCAGTCAGCATGTGGACTTGAACTCTTCACACCACAACCTCTTGTGGGGTGACCCTGCTAACAACTACACCACTGTGCCACCTTACTTTATTATAGCTTCCTCATATCTTTCACTTCCTATGGAGTTTAATTTAGTTTAACAAAATGCCCTCTGGTGCATCATGTAAGATCAACCATTGCTTCTCCTCAGTGGCAGTACCACATATTTTGCTTTACTCTAACAGAATGTCATATTGCCAACATAGTGTATCATAGAGTATCAGAATTTTGACTGTACATGTGCTTTATCTTTGACACTACAACAAGTCAAGTATTGCATGTATGTGAGCAGTAAGCAGTCTCAAACCCATTAAGCCTGGTTGCTGATCTCATCAGGAAGGACAACCTGGAGCTGCTCCACTGAGAATCAGTCAGAGATGACTTCGGGAATGTAGTATGTATATTCAGCTTTTGCAGCCAAACAGGATTCATTTTGGTTCTGAACTATAGCCCAGACCAAAAACAACCCTGCATTAAAACCATGCAATGGCTGTGATGGTGGGGGTGAATTGTTTTAATACCAATGAGATAATGCAATACAACCCAGAGGGGTCAGTTTGAGTAATTAATCCATGAGTTTCATAATTCTGTCAAATAGGATTTTAGAACTCTACAAGAGTTGTAAATAGCTGAAAATAATTTTAGCTTTTATTGCAACAATTGCAAGGTCAACAGTAGGAAAACAATGTTCACATTACAAACCAGTCTTTCACATGCTTGCATGTGTTTGACCGCCAGTGGTGCACTGATCCAGATGACAGTGCAATGTGTTGCAGTTACAGTTGAGTCTGGTTCAACTTTTTTCCAGATGACCCTGCATTTTTTTTCCCAGAGCTCTTTGCCTTTGCACCCCCACGGCATCAGCCCAGTGGCCTTATTCAAATGTATGCATTTTCTTTTTTTTTTACGCAATGCTGTTGTCTAAATATGGCCTAAGAAATTTTGATTGATAATCACTCTAGCTTATAGCCAATGTATATTGCTTAAAACAACATAGGTACTACAGGAAAATAGGCCACTGCACAGAATGTCAATGAGGCACAAAGTGAGATAATAAATGTTATTCATCCATTTTCTTTGGCAAATTATTTGCAGTAAATAAATAGTGGGAATTAGGCATCTTTAAAAATTAAAATTGTAGCCCGAGATTTCATAGTTTTCATTGCATATTCAAGAAACAATTATGGAAGTAATTATTCAACATCCATTTTCAAAAATCACAACAAAAAGACTGAACAATTAAATTGCAAAGTGTGCAGTTAATGATGGAAGTAGTATGACATATTTCATTCACTTAAATACATAATATTGTATCAGATTAAAATATTAAATTAAAGTTTCTTGTGAATATATAAGCCAGTGAAACAATACTTAGAAGAAGAAGAAGAAGAAGAAGAAGAAAGACATTGTAACATTGTGTCTGTGCACACACTCACACACCCCACAGACCTTGCAGTCTTTTTTAACATTTTAGTTAGTTAAACCATTTCCACACCAAGCCAGCGTCTTCCCAAAGTTATGCCAACATCATGCAAAACATCGCCAATTTTAAAACACCCTCCTAACACCCAACTTTAAATCTGCACAACAATGCAAAATATGAAGCTGCAAGCATCCAAATCTCACCACCACCAAGAGTGCATGTTCTGCACTGGTTTCATTACATATCAGCACTGGAGTCTGGTACTTACAACTCTAACTTCCAAAGTGTGTGTGTGTGTGTGTGTGTGTGTGTGTGTGTGTGTGTGTGTGTGTGTGTGTGTGTGTGTGTGTGTGCGTGTCTTTTTTTTCTACACATTCTTTTAGTTTCTCTTGTCTTTTCCTTCTCTGTANAGCTCTTAACTTTAGACAGGACTCACCTTTTGATGGTCACTGTTCCCCACTGACAGATGGATGGACGGACATACATTAAAACAACAGGAGCACAAACCGCAGGGACAAAATAGACTGGAAGGACGCAAGGACAAGAAGAACAAGAACAGACTTACATGCATGCAACATTTAAAAGCAACAAAAAGAAGGTAAAATGAAAATGGGTACTGGAGAAACGAGTAAAGACAGATTGACCCGCCCAGATGAAGAAAAAGAGGAAGGACAGATGAAAAGAGAGGTAGGCAGAGGCCCACCCCACTTGTCCTCCTTCACTCAGGATGCTTTCTGAAATCTGCTCACTCACCGGCTGGTGCAAAGAGAGAGAGAGAGAGAGAGAGAGAGAGAGAGAGAGCGGGAAGGGACGAGGGAGGGGGGGATAGAGCAGGTCCAAGTGTAGGGTGAGAGGAAGGTTAATCAGAGTGGGAGGTGATGGGTGGTGGGTGGTGGGTGGGAGACGATGAAGGTATGAAGAGAGAGAAGGAAGGGGCTGAGAGCTCAGAGTCTCTGAATAGCTGTTTTCGGACCGGCTCATCTATGTAGCTTCACTGCAGCATTTCACTGCCTTGGCCGTCCCAAAAACAGATCCACCACTCCCTCCCTCCGCCTCTCATCTCACCTCCCTCCTTTGCCTTCTGTCATATCTCCTCTCGCTCCCGTCGTCCCCCCACCTTCTCTCCTTCTCCTCTGTCAACTTTAGTCTCCTATACCTATCCTTTCATCTCCTTGAACTTCTCTGTTCCTCTCACCCCTCCTTATCCCTATTCTCCTTTCCTTTCCTTTCCTCTCCTCCCTCTCCTCTTCTCTCATCAGTGTAATGTCCTCTTTTGCTCCGCCTTCCTTCTATACACAGCATCCAAGGTCACCCTGTCCAGAGGCAGGTGTGTGTGCTTGTGCTCACATGTGACTATGTATTGATGTGCATATGCAAAGATGCATGTGCGTACATATCCCTGTATGTTTGCATCTCATTCTTGCAATCTTCATATACTGTATGTCTGTGTATTTATCTCTAGTATCTATCTTCATTTTGGTCTTATTTGAGTTTGGGGGAGGTCAAGCATCCACCATCATGTCATTATGGATAGACAGGGGAATAGTGAAAAAAAAGGACATAGGAACTGGAAAATGGTAATAAAACATCAAAGTATAATAAGGAATAGAAGAATCATAGTGTAATAACGAATAACAACGTCATATTCTAGTAAGGTAGAAAACATTATAGTATGTAATGAATAAAAAGGTCATATTCTGGTAATGTAATAGTATAGTAAGACAAAAAATCTGATAAAACACGACAATAAGGTATAAAATGTAATAGTATATTAATATAAAAACATCATACTATATTAAGGCTTAAAATACGTTGTATAGCAAAGCAAAAAAAGGTCATAGTATATTAAGTCTCGGATTGTCATAATTTAATAAGGTATAAAAAGTCATGAAAACATCATGTTACAATAAGACATGAAATGTCGGAAAATTGTCATAGTATACTAAGGCATAAAAAGTCATAAAAACGGCAAAGTATAGTAAACCATAAAAATGTCATACTATAGTAAGGTATAAAAATGACATAGTATAGTGAGGCATGAAAATTCATAAAAACAACACAGTATAGTAAGTCATAAAAATGACATAATATAATAAGGCGTAAAAAGTCATAAAAATGAAATAGTATAGTAAGATATAAAAATGACATAGTATAGTATGGCATAAAAAGTAAAAAAAAAAACATAGTATAATAAGGCATAAAAAGTCATAAAATTGTCATAGTACAGTAAGGCATAAAAACAAATATTATGGTAAGGCATAAAAAGTCAAGAAACAGCATAGTATAGTAAGGCATAAAAACAAATAGTGTAGTAAGGCAGAAAAAGTAAAAAAAAATGTCATAGTATAATAAGGCATAAAAGGTCATACTATTGTCATAGTATGGTAAGGCATAAAAACAAATAGTATAGTAAGGCATAAAAACAAATATTATAGTAAGGCATAA